TAGAATAATGGAAAACTTCACTGTTGTCAAAATGTCAAAACTGAATTCTCTGAATACCGGGCTTTCCTGAAATCAACAGTTAGGTCCTGACAAGTTCCCAATTCATCCTCATTAACTGAATCAAACAACCAGCATGCTGTTTGGTGGTGGTTTTACCTGGCATCTGAAACTCAAGATGACAAAGGGTGATATCACTTCTTAAGCCCCATGTAATTAACCAAGCCAGAAAAGGCTATAGTAAGATGCAAGGAAACATTAATATACATTCGTTCCAAATGGTATTATTTCAAATGGACATCACCATACACTTTCCCCCTTATGACTAACCACACAGATGGCGTATTTCAACAGAGATCCCATTTTTTCCAAAACAAAGAAAGATACTCAAGTCTGCCTGAGGGACACAAACAATTATGGTATCTACAGGAGGGAAGGAGCACATGAAGTCAGGATCCCTGACACTCAAGCCCTGTTGCTTGGCAAAAATTTCTAAGACTAAAGGCTTTGGGGATTTTAATGTTGTTAAACTTTTTATTTAGAAAAAAATTCAAAACAATAGAAAACTTGTAAGAATCATATCATGAACTTACATATACCATTCCCTAGATTTATTAATTGCTACTACTTTGCTATATTTTATCATGTCTCCCCATCAACTTCCCCCCAAACACACACACACACACACACACACACACACCAGAAAAATAGATTTTTGCTAACCATTTTTGTGTACGTGCTGAAAGGGACCAGAATATGATCCCAGATTATCACTCCCAAATGACATGTTTGGCACCCACTTTGATAGAAGGATTAATTTGAACTAAAGGCAACTGAGAACTAGCAAACACAGAAAAGCTCTTTACCTCCCTCTAACTGACAAAAAATAAAGTGTAAATTTCCTATTTTGGGAAGAGAATTTTCATTCATAAAGGACATTTCCATTGTAAAGATGTCTCCTTACCAGGAAGAGAGCTATTCCTGGAGACCACTCTTCACCAGAGAGACGTTTATCTGTATAACCAGACAACTTTACTTATCAGACATTTCCTAGCCATTCAAACCTAGGAGGGTAAGAGGGAAACACCTTTCTTCCCCTAGAGTATGATATCAAAATATTCTAAGAATAAGGACAATTGCTCATATAAGCACAATGAAATGATCAAATTTAGAGACTAGTAACATTTTTAAAATACTATCTTAATATAGTTCATGTTTACATTTCTTCATTCCCAAAAAGTCCTATATGGCCATTTTCTCCCAATCCAGGATCTTGCTTTTAGTTGTCATGTCTCTTTAGTCTTCTGGAACCTGGAATAGCTCCTCAGTCTTCCTTTGCCTATCATGTCATTGATATTTTGGTTGATGCTGATCTGAATACTTCCTTAGGATTAGCTTCACATTACACATTACACATTTTTGAAAGAGATACTACTGAGGTGATTTTATGTCCTTATCGCATTATATTATTGGTAATGTTAACTCTGATCCTTGATCCTTTGAATAAAATGGTGTGTGTGTGTGTGTGTGTGTGTGTGTGTGTGTATTGATGGGGGAAACAACACCTTAGCACACTAAATATCTTAAGCTGAAGTCTGAGAAAACTGTAGAAGCAGGAA